ATTGGCACAGGACAGAGCGGAGTTTAGGGCTGTTGTACATAGGGTCGCTATGAGTCGCAGGTGACTCGATGGCACATAACAACAACAACAACAACTGGTATTCCCTGCTTTCAGCCAAGTTCGATCTAACATTTGCTACAATATCCCTAGTACCATGGCCTCTTCTAAACCCAGGCTGCACTTCTACCAGTTCTCTTTTGATATGCTGTTCTGGTCATTTTTGGATGATCTTCAGCAGAATCTTTATTGCAAGTGACATTAATGGTATTTTTTGATAATTTCCACACTCTGTCAGGTCACCTTTCTTTGGAATGGGAACAAATATAGATCTCTTCCAGTCAATTGTTGTACCAGGTGGTTGTCCTCCAGATTTCTTGGCACAACTTGGTGAGCACATCTAGGGCAGCATCTGTTTGTTGAAATATATGACTTTTTAAATTATGGTTGTGATATAACATAAATTATTTTGAATGACCCAACAAAGATAAATGGTACTTTTTTGGTTTCAGGGTTAATCTTTTTTTAAAAGGTCTTGAATTAGTAATAAAGGTGCTCTAAAACAGATTATAATGTTTATTAAACCACTCTGAATATTTTTAAAGAATAATTTCTTACACATTTTAAATGGGTGAATTATATGGTGCGTGAATATCTCATTAAAGTTGTTATTTGAAAATGTGAAATGAAGCAGATACTGTAAATTATTAACATTGATTATATTGCAGAAGTATCTATGTTTTTTCTATTACTTTTCCTTAGTATTTTATCTTAGTGGCTGAAATATTTCATATGAAAGTGAACTTCTTTACAAATGAAAATAAAATAATGAATGTGGAAAAAATTGCATTAGAATTTGTTAACCAGGACATCTTTTTTCTTCATAATTGTTGTAGCTAACAGAAAATTTATCTATTTAGGAAACAATGATATTGTAATTTATGCAAAAGCCTTTACTCCTCCTTTAACTTCACTCACACACCTATACCATTGCGTATGCACATATGGAATTTTAGTTTAACTTTTTTGGTTTCAATCTACTTCTGATAACCTTAGGTACTCTTCTTGTTATTAGGTGCCATCGAGTCATGGCTATTTAAAAAGTATGATAATCTCGCCATCATTTTTCAATGTTTTGGTCAAAAATTCTATAGAAGAATCCTGATCAAAGAGAAGATGTAGAACAGAAATTTTAAATTCTCATGGTGTCCATATTTCAGGGAGCCATGGAGGTGAGAGGAATCACCAGAAATACTGTTTGGAGATAATCTTTAATCCTTAAACCAAAAATATTCCCTTAAGTTTTTTCAAATCAAAACAGTAGTTTAACTTAATAACAAATACCTGCCTTGAGCATTGTATTCTTTTTAGATCTATCTAGATGAGATCAAATTGATAACTCCAAATGGAAACAATACATAGAAAGTTTAGACCAGCTTTTATGTAAAATGGAGAGAAATAACTCAGAAAAGAAGAATGAGAATGGTTAACTCGAAAAATGTTATCTGTATGACTGAATTGTACATTTACAGCTTAATGAGTTGGTATATGTTCTACTGTGTGTATTCTAAATAACAAAATTTAAAAGTATGATAAAATGGCTCAACTAAGACTTCTTTTGAAGATCAGAAATTTAATAACATTTCTTTAAATAATAATTATATACTTTAAAATGTATTTTGGAGGGAGGTCTGGTGGCCTAGTGACAAGAAGCTGCACTGCAGTCCCAGAGGAGCACGGTTCAAATCCACCAGATGCTCTCCTGGAGAAGGAGGGACAGTCTCCTCCTGTGCCAATCAGATCCAATTTGATGGTACATACACACAAAATAATAAAATAAAAGTTTTTTTCCTTTTTCATAATCTAACCCAGTCTTTTGTATACATTTGTAGTCATTCTTTTGGTTTAGGTATAAAGAAATGTTTTTGATTTTGTAGGTAACAGATTTTTTTTACATCCTGTAGACCAGGTGGGTTGACACAGTGATTGTGGCAATGGGCTTGAATGTGTTACAGATTGTGAGGATGGCATGGGATAGGACAGTATTCATATTGGATGTTCACTGGATTGCTGTGATTTGTACTCAACTTGATGGCACCTAACAACAATAGCTTTTAGAAAGGATATACAAATTATTTTGTTCCTAACTAGAAGAACAATGATGTCAGTCTGGAGATTAAGATGTGCCTGCTCTAGGCCATGGTCTTTGTAATCCCTTTCTATGCATCAGAGAGCTGGACAATGGCAAGGGATAATAGAAGAACTAATGCCTTTGAGCTGTGGTGTTGGAGAAGAGTATTGAATATACCGTGGACTGCTAAGAGAACCAACAGGTTCATCCTGGAGAGAGTTAAACCAGGCTTGGAGTTAAGGGTTAAACTCCTTGGATGCAATGACTCTGAAGCTTCCTCTGACAGACTTTGGACATGTTGCAAGGAGGGACCAGTCTTTGGAGAGGGACGTCATGCCGGGGAGGGTGGAGGGGACAGCATAGGAGAAGATTCTAGATAAGATCAATTGATTCAGTGACTAGGGTAATAGGGGTAGGTGTGTCAGAGCTGATAATGTTGGCTTAAGATAGAGCAGGGTTCAGAGCTGTTGTACAAAGAGTTGTTATGAGTTGCAAGTGACTGGACAGGCATAATAACAATAAGAATTCTAAATGTCATTTGAAATTGTTAAACTTTTAAAAATACATCTAGCCATTTCTTTGGATCATACTTAACAAGGTTTAAAGAAAATGTTTACCATATGTATATTTAGTATGGGAAGAAGAAATAAACATTTTTATGTGTAAATTTTAAATTTACCATCTTATATGTGTTATTGTAGTGTGTCTACTTTTTTCTAATTAAAATGTATAGAATCATCCAACTCACAAAATGTTTCTAAATGACAGATTTAAAAATTTTCTACGATAATTTCTATATAAGAACATTTTTCTTTCATTGAAAAGAATTTCTCTTTAAAGAAAAAAAAGAAAAATATTATATTTGAAACATTAAAAACTCTGTTTTCAAAGGAAAAATGTGATAATGACCAAATAATTGTATAAAATAATCTTGTGAAATACTTTCCCTTTAAAATGTGTATTTTAGTCACGAATATGAAAGGTTAATATGGCAGAGGACTCACTTGGTGTCTTCTTCTGTGTGTCTTAATTGTGTCGTCATTTCTGGAAGAGGGCTGAAGTATGTGTTTTGAAATAATGGGGGAGATTTCAATTAATTCTGAAGAGTATCATGGCCTAAGAGCCACTTGGAATAGAATAAGAACATCCAGTAAAAATGAAAATAATAGAGTTATCAGTGTGATAGTAAAATTGGAAGATTATGTAATTTCTGACTTACTCATAAAGTTTTATTATCTGCATTGTGTTTTAAAATGCTCCAATATTTAATGTTTTACATAGTACCTTGCACCTGAAGTAATCCGAAAGCAGCCCTATGACAATACAGTAGACTGGTGGTGCCTTGGTGCTGTTCTCTATGAAATGCTCTATGGATTGGTATGTATTTTTACCCTTTTGTGACCATTTCAGTGTGCTGTACTTAATTTAAATTTTCTGTCTCTGAATTTTCTTGATAAGCTTGTGGCAACTTAGAAAATGTTAAGATCATAATAAAGCAATAACCTGATTAAATAAAAAAAATTAGATATTTGTGCAAAAAATATAACTTTAACTTTGTTACTACTTTTAGAAATTGTCATAATTACTTCAGTAACATTAATCCCTACTTCCAGGTTTCTTCTCATTTTTAGTAATATACACCTAGTTTTAATATTAAAATTGTCCTCTTTGCTTCATTGATGCAAATAGTTGTTGTGTGCCATTGAGTCGCCTAAGACACATAGAAACCCTATGTACACTAGCTCTGAAAGCTGCTCTATCTTGAGCCAGTCTCATCATCTCTGACAGATCTAATCCCATTTCTCCAATCACTGAGTCAATCTATCTCATTCTGGGTCTTCCTTTCCTGCGCTGTCTCTCCACTCCACCCTTCCAGTCATGATCTCCTTCTCCAAGGACTGTTCCCTCCCACCCATGTGCCCAAAGTATGTGAGATGGAGGCTAGAAATCCTTGCCTCCAGGGAGCAGCCTGATTTCACTCTATCCAGGATAAGACCTGTTTGTCCTCTTGGCAGTCATTGGTATACTCAGCAATCTTTTCCAACACCACAACTCAAAGGCATCGATACTTCTGTCATCCTTAGTTATTGTGCAGCTCTTAGATGCATAGCAAGTAATTGTGAAGACTATGGCCTTGAACAGGTGCACCTTTGTCTCCAGACTGACATCATTGCTTTTTAGTACTCTAGAGTGGTCCTTGACAGCAGATTTTTACCAGTGCAGTTTGTCTTTTGATTTCTTGACTGCTGGTGCCACAAGTGTTGATTGTGGAACCAAGAAAGCTGAAGTTATCAGCAACCTCAATTTGTTCTCCATCCATCATGAAGCTGCTCATTGCCCAGGGGTGGGAATCTTTTTTTTTTTCTTGACATTGAGCTTCAATCCATATTGAAGACTATAATCCTCAAACAGTATTGTAGCTTAATTAAGAAAGTATTCGGATTTGAAAATTGAGCTTTTTAAAAAAAATTATCTCTATAGGATCATATTGACAGGTCGAAAGGTTAGATGATAAATTTAGGAGCAATTAAGCCTTCATGCACAATGCTTAAGGAAGCTGAGAATAGAACATTGAATGACCCAGGAAGAATCAAAAGAAGATGGATAGAGTATACAGAGTCACTATACCAAAAAGAATTGGCTGATAAAAAGAATTTCATGAAACAGCATATAATCAAGAGGAAATGGTGATGAAGGAGAAAGCCCAGGCTACTCTGATGAAATTGGCAAAAACAAGACCCCAGAACCTGATGGAATACCAGCTGACATATTTCTGCATACAGATGCTGCCATGGATGTGTTCACCGGGTTATGGCAAGAAATCTGGAGGACCACTACCTAGCCAACTCATCCCCCCAAAAAAGGTGATCTGAAAGAGTGTGGAAATTATCAAACAATATCACTAATATCACACTCAAGCAAGATCCTGCTGATGATTATCCAAAAATGAGTGGAACAGTACATCACCAAAGAATTGACAGATGTGCAAGCTGGGTTCAGTAGATGTCGTGGTACTTGGAGTATCATAGCCAACATTAGATGCACCTTGGCCAAAAGCAGGGGGTATCAGAGGAATGTCTATCTGTGTTTAATTGACTATGCAAAGGCATTTGACTGTGAGGAACAGATTGTAGCTAACTTGGAGTAGAATGGGAATGCCAGAATACAGTTATGCTCATGTGAAAGCTATACTTGGACCAGGACACAGGACTAGTCAGAACAGAGTAGGAAAACACTGCATGATTCAGGATCAGGAAAGGTGTTTGTTAAGGATGCATCCCATCTCCCTTCCTTTTCCTTCTATATGCAGAAGAGATCAGGAGGCTGGACTTAAAGAAGAGGAGTGTGGCATCGGGATTGGAGAAAGACCCATGAACAACCTACATTGTGCAGATGACACAACCTTGTTTCTTGAAACTGAAGAGCACCTTAGGTGTTTGCTGCAGAAGATCAAGGACTTGTAGTCTTTAATATGGATTGAAGCTCAACATCAAGAAAACAAAGATTCTGACCACTGGGCCAATTGGCAGCTTCATGGTAGATGGAGAAGAGATTGAGTTTGTTAACAATTTCAGCTTGCTTGGTTCCACAGGCAGCGCTCTTGGTTACAGCAGTCAGAAAATTAAAAAAGAAAAATTAGTTGCACTGGCAAAGTTTGCTGTCAGGGACCTCTCTATAGTACTGAAAAGCAATGATGTCAGTCTGGAGACTGAGGTGCACCTGATACAGGCAGTGGTCTTCACAATTGCTTGCAGTGTATCAGAGAACTGAACAGTGACTAAGAATGATAGAAGGATGAATGCCTTTGAGTTTTGGTGCTAGAAAAGAGTATTAATCATACCATGGACTACCAGGAGAACAAACAGGTCTATCCTAGAGAGGGTGAAACCAAGCTACTCTTTGGAGGCAAAGATTTTTAAGCTCTGTCTCACATACTTTGGGCACGTGGGCAGAAGTGACCAGTCCTAGGAGTAGGATATCATGCTAGGTAGGATGGACAGCATGGGGGAGGAATACCCAGGATGAGATGGATTGGCTCAATGTCTGGAGAAATGGTATTAGTTCTGTCGGCGACGAAGAGATTGATTGGCTCAGAATAGGGCAAAGTTCAGAGCTATTGTGCAAAGGGTCACTTTGAGTTACAGGTGACTTGATGTCACATAACAACAATAAGAATAAATCTGTTGGAGTTCATAGAACAATTTGGAAGTGGATAACAAGGTTAGTATCAGTCAAGTTGAATGACATTCGTGTTACCGGATAGTATGTTTAGAAAATAATTGAAATATTATATTTTGATGTGTTTCTTTTTATCAACAAATTTAAATAAATAAAATAAAATTAACTACTTTGCATACCATGAACATCATTCCTGAATAATTTAAAAATGATAAAAATATTTTTATTAGTATGTATTATAATAAAAAATTATACATTTGAATATTTACCTTATATCTTATAGCATTTTTATTAATGTATAAATTCTCAGCTTTTTGCCACTTAAGATTATTTGGTTTCTCTCTCCTAAACATCATGTCTTGCAGATTTCGGTGGGGAGGGAGGGCGGGGAATGTCACATATACTATGTTATTAATTTTTCCAAGTTTGAGGCATTTCAGTTAGCTTACGTTTCCTAATAGAAAGTAAATCATTCCTTTGTTTTAGGCATTTGGAAATATTTGGAATACCTTCTAGACTCCCATCATGATCCCTTATTGTATAGCAACATCATGTTGGGAAGCATGGACTGGTATTTGACGCTGCTAGAGCTGCTGCTGCTGCTACTGTTAGTGCTAAATACTGCCATCAGTGGAGACCTGAGCTTCAGTTTTGGGTTGTTGCTTTTATTCCTGAAAACTGTTGAGTTTCAATGAAAATTCTGCATGTGCAGTACCTTTTAGAGCATTTGGTTCACATTACCATTTTGAATTTTAGATTCCTTTGAAAGCTATCAAGCTCTAGTGGTAAGAGTTTCTCTGCCAGCTTTAAGGCACACATTTCAGATCCACCGGATGTTCTGTGAGAGAAAAACAGTTTGCTCTGGTGCGATAGAATGTCTCTAAAAACTGAATGGAGAAAGAGCCGATTCTGACTCGATGGCTCACAATGCCAATAGCATGAAAGCCAACGTTATCTCCTTTTTCTTAGGCTTCATCTCATTATGAAAAGATCTAGCTTTAGGAATATCTTATAACCACTTTATGTTTTATCTTCTACCAGTGTTGGATATCTTCTTGATTATTTCTTATATAAGGCTGAGTTTCTTTATGTAACTTTGAAAATATTAATGTTATTATGTAAAGTACAATGGAGTTAAAAGGGAACATTTGAAACATTTTTTTAAAAAAAACACATGCTTCATGAATTTTTATTAAATACTGGAAAAGAAAGTTAGATTTTAAAAAACTTTAAAATAAAAGTTTTTTTCACTTTTTTGTTAAAAGATGATAACAAGCCTATAAACTCCTTTTATTTTAAAACTAGGCAATTAAATAACAACTTCACATGTTGATACTGTATCATTCTCAGTACTAGTTATACCTAGTAGTGCTGTCATTGTTCTAGTTACTTAGGTAGGAATGCATCTCACTTTGCTTTATTTACTCCAAAATCGGTAAGAAATCACTTAGTGTTGGTCGGTATTGAATCTCTGTTTTCAATAATTTACCAGTGTGCCTATGAGGAGGCTGTTTCTTTTCTGTAAAGTAGATACTATTAGAAGTTTCATAAACTTTGAACACTTGCCCACAAGGTGCTAATGAGCAAATGAACTGGACCTTGTTCATCAGCTGAGCATGCTTTGAGATACATGGTTTGCTGGGCTTTGGAAACTCAGGGCAGAGGAAAGCACCCTGCAAATGTTTTTTGCTCAAAAAAGACATTTGAAATCTGCAACTGTTTAGATTGCCACCTACAGATGGAGACAGGTTCTCCCTACTCTTTAACCATTTCTTTTTTTAAAATTTTTTTTAACCATTTCTTAGTATGGGTTACTTAACCAGTTTTTTCTTTATCTTGATTTTTTAAAAAAAATTTATTTCTTTTTTATAGCCCCCTTTTTATTGCCGAGATGTTGCTGAGATGTATGACAATATTCTTCACAAGCCCCTAAGTTTGAGACCTGGAGTGAGTCTCACAGCCTGGTCCATTCTGGAAGAACTCCTAGAAAAAGACAGACAGCATCGACTTGGTGCCAAAGAAGACTTTGTATGTATCTTCTTTTTTCAAGTCCTTATTTAATTTAAGCTATTTGAAATTGAGGGATAAATCTTTATTTTGTATTATATATGAGATGATGACTGTTGTTAATAGACTACTGAGTGTCCTGTGACTCCTAGTGACCCTGTGTACAACAGCCCTAAACCTTGCTCTATCCTGTGCCAATCTTATTGTCTCTGACACACCTACCCCATTACCCCAGTCACTGAATCAGTCCATCTCATATAGGGTCTTTCTCTCTTGTGCTGTCCCTCCACTCTCCCAAGCACACCATCCCTTCTGAAGGACTGGTCCCCCCTTGCAGCATGTCCAAAGTAAGTCAAACGAGCTTCAGAGTCCTTGCCTCCAAGGAGCAGCCTGGTTTAACCCTCTCAAGGATGAACCTTTTTGTTCTCTTAGCAGTCCATGGTATATTCAGTACTCTTCTGCAGCACCACAGCTCAAAGGCATCAGTTCTCCTTCTCTCATTCCTAGTCATTGTCCAGCTTTCTGATGCATAGCAAGTAGTTACAAAGACTGTGGCCTGGATCCAGGAACACCTTAGCCTCCAGACTGACATCACTTCTCTTCAGTACTCTGGAGAGTTCTCTCACAGCAGACTTACCCAATTCAATTCGTCTTCTAATTTCCTGGCTGCTGGTACCAAGAGTGTTCATTGTGGAGCCAAGCAAACTAAAGCTGTGAACAATTTCAATTTCTTCACCATTTATCATGATGCTGCCAGTCGGCCCAGTCATTAGAATCTTTGTTTTCTTGAGGTTGAACTTCAGTCTGTATTGAAGGCTGCAGTCCTTGATCTTCTGCAGCAAGCGCTTCAGGTCTTCCTCAGTTTCAGCTAGCAGGGTTGTGTCACCAGCATAACGCAGATTGTTGATATGTCTTCTTTCCAATCCTGATTCCACATTTCTCCTCATAGAGTCCAGCCTCCCAGATAATCTGTTCTGCATATAGATTGAAAAGATATGGAGATAGGACACATCCCTGGCATATACCCTTCTCAATTTTGAACCATACAGTGTTTCCTTGCTCTGTTCTTATGACTGCCTCTTGGTCTAATTATAGGTTTTGCATAAGCACGATCAAATGTTCTGGAATCCCCATTCTTCTCAGAGTTAGCCCCAGTTTATTGTGGTCCACATAGTCAAATACCTTTGCATAGTCAATGAAACACAGATAGACATTCCTTTGGTACTCCCTGCTTTCAGCCAAGATCCATCCATCATTTGCTATAATATCCCTAGAAGCACAGCTTCTTCTAAGCCCGGCCTGCACTTCTGGCAATTCTCTGCTGATGTGCTTTTCCAGTTGTTTTTGGATAATCTTTAGCAGAATCTTGCTTGCATGTTATATTAATGGTATTGTTCGATAATTTCCACACGGTCGGTTCACCTTTCTTTGTAATGGGAACAAATACAGATCTCTCCCAGTCAGTTGTCCAGGTAGTTGTTCTCCAGATTTCTTGGCACAACTTGGTGAGCACATCCAGGTTAGTTAGTGTCTGTTTGTTGAAATAAGTCAGTTGATATGCTGTCAATTCCTGGGGCTTTTTTTTTTTTTTGCCAATTCTTTCAGAGTAGCTTGAATTTCTTCCTTCATCACCACAACGTCCTCCTTATATGTTATTTCGTAAAATTCTTCTGTGTCCATCAATTCCTTTTGTTACAATGACTGTATATTCTTGCCTTCTTTTAATGCTTCCTAGAAAATTTCATTTTCTGTCTAAAGCATCCTTAAGTTTTGTAACTTCAGGCTTATATTTTTTTTCTTCTTCAGTTCCTCAGCTTATGAAATGTGAGTTTGGCCCCTTTGATTTTCTGACTCTAGCTCTTGGCACATTTCTTTATAAGGCTTTACTTTGTCTTCCCACGCTGCCCTGTGAAATCTTCTGTTCATCTCCATAATGTCCTGATCTCTTCCCTTTGTTTTGGCTTCTCGGCACTCTAGTGCAATATTTATAGTCTCTTCTGACATCCTTCTTGGTCTTTCCTTACTCTTCTGTCTTTGCAATGACCTGTTCCATTCTTCCTGGATGATATTTTTTTATATCTCCCACAGCTCATCTGGTCTTCGCTCATTAGTGTTCAAAGGCTTCAAACCTGTTCCTGAGATGGTTTTTCAATTCAGGTTGGATTGCCTCAATGTCAAATTTTGGTTCTCGTGGATTTGATTTCATTTTCCTTAGCTTCAGCTTGAACTTTCATGTTGACTACAACTATTAAAAAAATATAGAAAAGTTATATACTTACATGTCTTCAAATTGTCACCATTGCTTATATAGAATTAAGCTGTATTTAAATTGTTTTATAAGCATTTTTACACTATGTTTTCATTTAAAATTTTTTATACTTATTTCCCCTTTTATAAAAATATGCTTTGGCATTCATTTTTTAATTACTTCTATTTTAAAATACTTTTACTTAACAAGAATGTATTTACATTCCTTATGGTACATGAGATAATACCTTTTACTTTGAAGTATTTTTATAACACTTTATTATGAAAATTTAGGAATACTTCCTTGAGATTATTTTTGGAATTTGAAAATTGATTATATAATAAAAATCAGAGAAATGGCTAATATAATTACAGTGTGTCAGTAAATTCATAAACCATTAAGGAACTTGACCTTTTTTCATTTTCTCTCTTAGATTCTTAGAAATAATTTTTAATGATCTTGAATTTGACCTGTGATCAGTGAACTTTTCTTGTTCTCTTTCTGTCTATAGCCTCTACCTTGCCCTTGACTGGGCTAGTGGCTCTTCCTATATTTATTACTAAGCTCAGCTTTTATCAGTCAGTCTTACAGTATTTCTTACCTCTATGTCCCATGAATCTTTTGTTGAATTCACTGTCAGAAGTTGCAACTTTAGGTAGTTTTGTCTTCTTAAGAGACTACTAAATCAAGCCAAATCTACTGCTAACTCTGAGGAATAGTAACTCCAGGATTCGTCTCTGAGGACAGAACTGCTCTGTAGGATTTCCAATATTGTAATTTTTTTTTTTAATTTTTAGTGTATCTTTGTTTTTTCATCTTTTAAAAATTTTTATTTTAATGAAAGTTTACAGAAAGGTTGGATTTTCATTCCTTTGTGGTTGCACTTTTTCCTCCCTTTCCCCTAGTCCACTTTTTAATTCACCTCTTGTTCCAGGTAGTCATTGTCACACCTATAATGCCCAAACATACATTCCCTTCAGACAGTAGTTCCCCTCATCTGTTCCAGGACAGTGTTTATCACCTACCCACTCTTTTCTTGTTCTTGCCACAAACCTGTATGTTAGTCTTATTTTGTAACAGGGTACCATGCAGTGTTTGTTATTTTGTGACTGAGATACTTCACTGTGTAGTGTTTTACAACTTCTTTGTTTTTCAGTGCTGAATAATATTCCATTGAGTGAGTATATCACAGTTTTTCTAGCCATTTTTTTGTTGTTTGGCAGTTAGATTGCTTCCATCTCTTCACTGTTGTGAATAACACAGCAATAAACATGGGTGTGCATACATCTGTTTGAGTTGCAGTTCTGGTTTATTTAGGACATATTCTCAGTAGTAGGAGAGCTGAATCAAATAGTATTTCTATTTCTAATTTTCTGAGAAAGCTCCAGATCACTTTTCATAGCAAATTGCCACATCTTTGTCCTGTAGAGCAGTAGTATAATCCAAATCACTACACCTCTGGCTTCACAAAGAAAATTAGACCCCTAAGCCTAAATCTTAAGTCACTAAACTCTTCTTTAATTGTGTATAAAGCAATACTTGTACATAGATGAAAATGTAGTTGTTCAAAAGAACAAGTGTTCTTCGTGGCTTAAAAGGAGGAAAGGTGTTGCTAGGGTTGTATCCTTTCACAGAACTTAGTCAATCTTGAATGATCAAGGAAGCATCAAAGAAGTTAAAGGGAAACAGAGTCTCTGTACCAAAAATAATTGGCCAAGAAGGAAATATTCAAGATATAATGTATGATCAAGAGCTAATTGTAATGAAGGAAGAGATATAAGTTGCAGTCATGACACTGGCATAATAGAAGACTACAGGAATCAATGGAATGCCAGTTGACACATTTCAAATGACATGTCAGTATACAGCCCTGAAGATGTTCACCAGTCTATGCCAGGAAATTTGGAAGAGAGCTGCTTGGCCAATTTACTAGAAGGGATTGGTATTTGTTCCTCTTCTCAGGAAAGGTAATCCAACAGAATGTAGAAATTGCTAAACAATATCATTAATATCACTTGCAAGCAAAATACTTCTGAATATCATTTTTAAAATGGCAAAAACAATACTTAGATCAAGAACTGACAAAAGAAGTTTTCAAGCTGATTTAGAAGAGGCCATGGCACTAGGGATATCATTGCTGAGTCCAGATATATCCTGACTTGAAGGTAAAGAATGTGAGAAGAATGTCTTTCTGTGCGTTATTGACTATGCAAAGGCATTGGGGCTCTGTGGATTATAACAAATTTTGAGTAACACTGAGAAAAATGGGAATCCCAGAACATTCAATATGCTCTTGCAAAACCTCTAGGTAGACCCCGAAGCTGTTGTGTGAACACAACAAGGGAACCACTACATGGTTTAAAATTAACAAAGGTATGTGCCAGGGTTGTATCCTTTCTCCAAACCTATTCATTCTGTATGCTTAGAAAATTATTTTGGAAACTGCACTCTGTGAAAAAAGGATGTGGCATCAGGATTAGAGGAAGATTCATCAATAACCTTTGGTGTGCGGATGACATAACCTTGCTTGCTGAAAGTGAGAAGCATTTGAAGCCCTTGCTGCAGAAGATGAAACACTGCCTTCAATATGGATTGAGTCTCAGCATCAAGAGAACCAAAATTTTTCCACTGGTCCAATAGTTGACATCATGACAGATGAAGAAAAGATTGAAACTCTTGTTGCCTTTAATGACTTGGATTCACAACCAAGACACTTGGTACCAGCATCAAGAAATTAGGAAATGCATTGCACAAGGGAAGTCTTCAGAAGGCA